TGTTACACTACTCGTGATCCGTGATCCTGATCCCTCCAAAATGCTACACACTTCGTGGTACGAAGATTCACTTGTAAATGCATACTGAGGAGATCCATACATTCGCACGCAGTCTTCGTCCATCTAAGGCTTGGATGGAGGAAGGCGGATGGAAGAATATATCAGACTCTAAGCAATTCAAATAGACACGATGGCCGTGTAAGAAACCTATTCATTTCTGCAGATTAAGCAAAAAACTCAATAGTATATGCGCGTCGACATTCCATGCCAGCCAAAGCCTCCGCGCCGAAGTTAACACCTTCTTCGTCCTCTGGAACTACTACTTCATCGTCGACATCGGGCTCGGGCTCCCCCATCATCTTCTGATAGTTATGCAAGCAGAAACACGCCAAAACAGCTTTAGCGGCCTTGCCGGGCGGCGTCAACCTCAAGCTCCCATTGCAAATTGCCCACGACCGCTTCAGTTTCCTGAATCCTCGTTCCACGGTCGACCTAACACTCTTGTGTGCAATATTGAAGGAAGCCTCGGCAGTTCCGGGAATAGGATCATTATAGGGGGTGAGCAGCGAGGGAGATAAACCATACGCAGAGTCCCCACATAACCAATAACCGGCCGGTATAGATCTCATACGTAAGAACAGCCGACTAGATTGATAAACGCGAGAGTCGTGGACAGAGCCAGGGTTGGAGGAATTCACCGAAACCCACAAATTATTCGCTCCCAAGACCGCTTGAACATTGAGTGATATATTCTTTTTAGAATCGACGAAATCAGCCCTTTGATCTATGGGCACCACATCTTTCAGTAGAATATGAGTTCCGTCGATAAGACCAATGCAGCGTGGTAAACGGGGATCTACGTCAGCATCTCCCCGAACAATTGTCTCATCCGAAGGGAAACGAATAAAACGTTCGCGGTTTTCAATGATCGCGTCGACAACCTCCGTGACACTTCGAGATACATATTCTTGGGAACAATCCAATGCATCTCCGCTTATTAACTGGAAACTGCCATTCGCGAGATAACGTAAAGCTACAAGTAATCTCTTCATTACGTGATGCCTTTTACCATTATCGCGAAGCTGAAGTATTTCCAGCAAATTCTTCAAGGACTGTCTGCAAAAACGATATCGCAGACGGAGCTCAGCGTCTGGCACTCCGACAGTAGGATCGACGAGGGGCATATTTAGTACGAGTGTAACGGAACTATCCACTACTCTTTGGTTAACCAACGAAATTTGATCAAGTTATCAAGTATCCGGGGCATTTGGATCCCCGAAGCGAATTGGATTCGCCGAGTCCCAGTGGGACTGTCCCGCGACATCGCTAATAGCGATGTCGTGGGATATTGCTAACCCGAACTCTTTAAGAGGTTCGCGATTCGCTATACATCATTTCACGAATTTCCACCTTAAGTGACTACTAGACGCAACAACTGAATTCTGGCAGAGAATTAACTAGCAATATCATTATCGAATAGCATTCCGCGAGGATACACAAGAAAAACGAAATACAGAAACAATGCAGCACCGACGCCACTAGCATCGTCGGTTGGCAGTCCTCTAAGAGGACTCCTCTTGATAAAGGTATTGATGAGGTCAAACCTTTCCTGAGGAATGAAATCCGCCTTCTTCGCAGGCATAATGCAAGAGTTTAGTAACTATAACAGAAGCGAGATCGAACTATTCGAACTGCACTAACAAAACCCAACAAGGTGGAGAACTACCGGAAGAAACCAACTACCTAGGAACATGTCACACTTCAAATGTCTTCTTCGAACTTTGCGCCACACTTAACGCAGTCAAGCCTCTAAAGGCCTTCTCGATCCTCTCCATGGCGTGAGCAGTTGCTGCATACTTACCCTCGTCGTTGTTGGCATTCTCCCTCCGCCGTTTCACAGAACACCCCCTACTCAAACGCGTTAATTGTTTGTATGAGAGTGGTGCACCAATACTATCTCGAACTTCCACCCCTGCTTCCAAGTCACCTAAACCCGCGAACCTTGGTGCGTTGAAGATGTGATGTTCCATCGCCTTCAACCATGGGTCGTTGCATGGCTCAGGATCCTCCGAAGGTTCGCCACCACCCGTTTTGACCGAACATAATCTTTGTCTATGTGCTGTAGACACTCGACCAACAACTAAGAACTTTACAAATATATTATTACCTTTGCTGTCCTGTGCTATTACCCCGTGTCATATCCTCCTTCATCTGCTTGAGATTTTTGGTAGTGTGGTTTACCCCAAACAACGAGTTGATGTCGATCGTAACTTTCTCCCACTGCTCACGCTGTCGCCTGGCAACGTCGTTGCCGCCAATATTGCCTCTGAGTATTTTTTGGCTTTCATTGTTTTCGTCGAAGAAGATAGAAGCGAAGTATATT